CATCGTAATCATAATATACAATACATATTTATTAATTGTTACAATTCTATATGATAAAATAAATATAGTATATTCTAATAATAATAATAAATACAAGATAATATAATATTAACAATCATAATATATTATATATAAATACATAATTATAAGTTATGTATTAATAAATAATACTAATAATATTAATAAATAATACACATTTTAGATCATATTATACATGTATTGTATTGACTTATTACAATATAGAATTGTGACATACATATACAAAACATTTTTAGGTCAAACTTCAAGAAAATAAACTTTTAAGCCTATTGAAGCTTCACGAAGTCCCGAGTGACTTCATGAATATCCTATGAATCATTTTTAATAATTTTATTAGTTTGAATAATTTATATTTGTATAGTTTTATATTTCTGTGTGCCATTTAGATATATTTGATTACTGTTACAAATTGTGACAAAAAAGCTTTGACTAGAGCCAATCCCCCATGTTTTATCTTTAGTTTTGTCCTACTATACGTTTATCATCCATCACTATTTAACAATAAATCAGTGTTTTGTTCAGTGTGATAAATTAGAACACTAGTGAATTATAATACAACATGCAGTGTCACTACCTTAAAATTGTCTAAGCTGTAAAAATGGGGAAATATGCTTTTATGGCACTATTTTTACCTGTGTATATGTGTCAAAATGCGGCAAGAGAGTACAACAAGACTTCTTTTGACAAATGAAAGCTTTAATGCATATTTCAAGGCGCATTATGACATGAATATGCGCACGTGTACTAAAGAACGAGATTGACAGGACCACAATGACGTAATACAGTCTCTTGCATTATGACGTCATTAGCCGGCCGTCCTCGCGCACCGACTGGCTTGCACGAGCTCCCGAATCACGCCATTCAGTCGTACATGAACGCACGGACAGACAGGCACCTTACCTTGGCCACAGAGAGCAGGTAGTAGCAGGCATAAGCAGCGCTGAATCCGAGCACCACTGAGAGTCCCACCCCAGAGCCAAGGAGCCCGACTTTGACTTGGTTTTTGAAGTAATGTGAAAGGTCGCTCGTAAATAAATTAAAATTAAGCTCCAGTGAGATCATTGCCCTATAAAGCCCACGCTTCCGGCCACTGAGACGCTCGAGCTGCTGCAGCTGGATAAAGGATGCGCGTCTTGAACGCAGAGGCGAACGGAGACAGGAGCTTACAGACGGGCAGATGGGTGGCGGTGCTTCCGAGAGAAATGCAACCAAGAGCGGAACACAGAAGGAGTCGGAGGGGGCGGGGCTTGCGACTCGGCGTTTCTTATTCGTTGTTTGATTGGATCGCGTCAATGTCCATTTAAAGTCACACAGTAGATGTAAAGCGGCGGAGCTCTGGGTTGACTTTTCCAATTTTATTACAAAATATTTATATCCAAACTTTTTGTGTTTTTTGGTTACTCCTTGAATTTAGATCTTTCTCAGTGTAAATGTATTATTAATCTATTGCTATATCTTGCTAGATTTTACATTCATAAGTGTACATTTTCAAAGAAAACTCCCTACTTTTTTATTTTCAGGAAAGATTTTGATGTGTATGTAAACTCTTTAAGAAACTCTAATAATTCTATTGCACGTAAGACTCTTTCATGGTGTAAATCTTATAAGCTAACATAGTATGCTTCTTTGTAACCCTTATTGTCTTTTGTTCTTACTTGTCTTTGTAACTGTATTTGTTGTTCTTCTATTGCATAATAAAAAAAAAGGTGTAAAGCAGCAGAAGAACGACACCTTCACATGAAACGTTCTTTTAATTGTTTGTTTTCTAAGTGTTATTAAAGAGTATATAAAAAAACGGGGGCATTTAGAAGACGCTTTTATCCAAATCGACTTACAAATGAGGAATCAAAATCAACAAAAGAGCAATAATGTAAGTGCTGCCTGTGACAAGTCTCAGTTAGCCTAACGCAGTATGCAAGGGTTTATATATATATATATATATATATAAAGAAAACAAGAAGATAGAATAGAAAAATAAGAGGGAACGCATAGTGTTAGAGGGTCTTTTTTAAGGGTTTTTATTTTTTATTATAAATAAAAAGAAAGCAAATACTTAGAACAGAAATAGAATAGAGAGTGCAAGTGTTAGAGCGTTTTATATAAATAAATAGATAAAAATAGAATTAGAATAGAGAGTGCTAAAGTTTAGAGGGTCGGTGCAAGCTTCTGGAGGGCACATGAGTCTGAAGTAGTGAATTTAGCTGAAGGGGTGCAGAGCCAGTGGTTGTTTTGTAGGCAGACATCAATGCCAAGGTGTGACATGCGTTCTTTTAGACTCCTCTTGCAGCTGTATTGTGGATTATCTGCAGAGGTTTGCTAGAACTGTCTGGAAGCCTTGCCGAGAGAGCATTGCGCAGAACAAGAGCTTGAAACATGCAGTTGTATTGCATGCTTCGAAAAAAGTCAGTGTAATGCCAAAATAAATGTAAAGTAGTTTAGGGTAATAATGACTAAAACAGCCTGTATATATATTTAATTTCTGCACTGTAAAACGGTGTCACGTGATGCGTGTTACATTACTCAACGTAGAAGCAACTAACCAATCAGAATCGTTTGTGGGTAAAGTTCAATTACATTTATGTGTGTGTGTGTGTGTTTATTTTCCTACGGCTGGTTGGGACGTTTTTTGGGGTTGTGTCTCAAAACCTAGTGAGCTGCCTACCTAGACAGCGTTGTAGAGCATTAAATGGCGCGTTCAGAGTCAGAAGAGCGTGCGCGTGATCTCGCGTGATTCTATTAACTCGGAAAGTTCCAATCCTCACTAAACAGTCGCGGATCTGCTCGCCAGGGATGATGTCTAGCTAGGAGTGTCACTAGGGGTTGAGACGCGGCCATTGAGTTGCGCTCAGTCTCAGGGAGGCTTCGCCGCTCTCTTCTTCCCCGAGTCTGATTTTGTAGGGAGGAGCTGCTGCTCTCGGGGAGATATAGAGACTTTGGCTGAGGACAACAGCAGGTAGAGAGCTTTTGGTCTTATTAGAAGTGTTCCAGCTGCATTTTGATGATCTTTTCCGCGCAGCGAGAGTTTGTTGAGCTTGTGTGTTAGCATCAGGCTAGCAGATCTCCGTCTACCCTCCCTGCTTCATCTTGTGTGTGTGATTTAAAGGTTGTGGTCTCGATGTTGTTGATCAGTGATGTAGTGTGGGTGTGATGGAGCAGGTCAGAGGGAACTCTATTGGCTGGATGCGTGTATTTTGAGGAGGTTTTGTTGGCTCTGGCTAACAGGATTAAAAGCGCTTTTGATCTGAGCCTCATAAAGCTGACAAAACAACATGATGCTTTGAAAGTTCGTTGAGCTTGTGTGTTAGCATCAGGCTAGCTGATCTCCGTCTACCCTCCCTGCTTCATCTTGTGTGTGTGATTTAAAGGTTGTGGTCTCGATGTTGTTGATCAGTGATGTAGTGTGGGTGTGATGGAGCAGGTCAGAGGGAACTCTATTGGCTGGATGCGTGTATTTTGAGGAGGTTTTGTTCGCTCTGGCTAACAGGATTAAAAGCGCTTTTGATCTGAGCCTCATAAAGCTGACAAAACAACATGATGCTTTGAAGAGCTGAGCAGGGTTGCCAGGTTTTCACTAGAAAACCCTCCTAAGTTATACTCAAACTAGTCCCAAACTATTCGCGTTTCGAGGGGGTCCCCAGTTAAAAAGCGCGTTCCGGGGGGTAAAATATGGGGTAAAATATACGTTTGTTGGCGGGGTTCCCCTGCTAAAATTTGCATTCCAGGGGATAGATATCATGTTATTGGAGTCGCTTCAACCCGCGGAAATGAAAAAGAACCCGCGGCAACAGTGTTAAAGTAGCGGGAAAACCGGGGACTTGGCAACACTGGAGCTGAGTCGTATACAAACATATATACTGGTTTATTTAAATGTTAAAAGCTACAATGAAGTATACTTAGAGTTGTATTACAGCAAGTTGCACTTAAAAAGTCGTGTCATTATTATTATATCACTTAGCATTTATTATTATCAATTTAGCACTTGGTACAGAACAAGTACAAACGTGATTGTGTGTGTGTAACTATAACGCATGTAACCAGAAAAAGGGTGCGATTAATTAGATTACATTTTTTTATTGATTGACAGCCCTAATAGAAATATTTAATGTTTTATAGTTACAAACCTAAAAACTTTCTTTCTTTCTTTTTTGCTGGGAAAGTGTTAATTTCTTTAATATAAGTTATGCGTGATTTGTTATTTTGTAGTAGTAGTAATAATAATATTAAACAAAATGTTTTCTATTTTAATGACATTCATACATTAAGTCAAATTTAAAATGTCCAAATACTTATACAAATATGTATTGTTTTATAATTGCAAACCTAAAAACTTTTTTCTGATGGGTTTCCAGATAAGTGATATATTTATATCAGATAAATGATGTTCGGTTTGTTGTTATGTAGTGGTAATAATATTCACAAATAAAATGTTTTCTAATTTAATGTCAAAAAAATTATATGTATAATGGTATGTATATATATATATGTATACACACACAAACCGAAACACCTTTTTAAGTGGTTTGCTGTGTGCTAAGCGTTATATTTTATAGTAGCAATAATATTAAGTAAAATGTATTTCTTTCTAATTTTGTGGCATTTGTGAATTTTAAGTGAAATAAAAATTTTTTTTTGAAAGTCCAAATACTTTAATATACATTTTGACTCTCAAATCAACTACTTCAGGCAAAAACACACCCGTTCAACATTCTTGTGGCGTCTGAAAACTATAAGAGAGGTCATGGGAAGCGTAGCAAACTGAAATGGGATCCGGTATATGTATACACACACAAACCGAAACACCTTTTTAAGTGGTTTGCTGTGTGCTAAGCGTTATATTTTATAGTAGCAATAATATTAAGTAAAATGTATTTTTTTCTAATTTTGTGGCATTTGTGAATTTTAAGTGAAATAAAAAATTTTTTTTGAAAGTCCAAATACTTTAATATACATTTTGACTCTCAAATCAACTACTTCAGGCAAAAACACACCCGTTCAACATTCTTGTGGCGTCTGAAAACTATAAGAGAGGTCATGGGAAGCGTAGCAAACTGAAATGGGATCCGGACAGAGACATTGTTCAAGCCCTGGACCTCGCCTTCAGCAAAAGTATTTCAGTGAGTGCCGTGGTGAAATAAGCTATAGAACACATTGACTACAGAAGTCATATTGTGATGTTAAGCTGCGACTCTTTGTGTCTCCAGACTGTGGAGCCCACAGGCAAGCGGTTTCTGGTGGCAGTGGATGTAAGTTCTTCTCTGAGCAGCGTGACTCACGGCAGCTCCATCAGCACTGTAGCAGTGGCAGCGGCCATGTGTTTAGTAAGACACACCACTGCAAACTTACTCCAATACTGTTACACAACACGATGAAGTCTGTGAAGAGACTGATGTCATATTTTAAGCTAATATTTTGTCCTTGGAGGATGTGTGTGTGGCTGTCGGGGTCCGCCCCGCTCGTATTTCACATTCCATGCATATTCCTTTTCTGATGGGACGCTCTGGTCCTGTAAACATCGATGGATGGCCTCTCCAGTGCACTCCTCTCATATGCGACTCATTTAAAGACTTTTCAGACACTTTAGGAATACTGAAATGTTGATTATAACCAACCAAGAATGTACAAACCCCATGAGATCAAGACTTATGTGACTTGATTTGTGTTAGCTTTAATGCTGTCTGCGTGCTAGTTCATGTCTGAAAAGTAGCTGATATACACCTCTGACCTTTCTTTTTTTAATTATTATTTTTTAAATGGAAGTTTTTCACAAGAACATTTAGACAAAACATAAACAGAAATCTGAAAAAGTTTGCACAAGTTTAGTTTTCTTTTCTTTTTTGTGTGTTTGTTAAATATCGTATTTGATAGACCAGGCTTTTATAGCTAATATTTTATGATATAGTGAGAATTTTGAAAAAAGACCTTATTTAGTGGCCCAACTTGAGGAAAATTTGGTGCATTTGCTGATATTTAAAGTGAGATGAATTTCTGATAGTTTGTGATGCAAATCAGTCAAGCCTTTATAGTAAATTAGTTGCATAAAATCCATATAAAAACAGGTGGCACTCTGTATCCCCCAGTAATATGATGTTTAAATAATATGATATTTAAATTCCTAGTTTTATGACCGTACTCTATAGTTTTTATTGTGGGGGCAAAACGTACTTTATAAATCAGTGCAATACAATGATGCACAAATAAATGTTTCTCAAAAACCTGATGGATCATATTTGATACATTTGAACTTTTTTTTTGATACAAGTGAACCTAAGTTGTTTTATTACTGAGAATATTAAAAAAATATATATTCTAAATGTTTAGTTTATAAAAACCAGTAAAGATTTCACAGCAAAACACATTTAATTATTTGGTAAATAAGTATAAACTATTAGTCAGATGACAGAAGGCATGTAGTTGATTGTGTACAACAAGTTTTTTAACAAGTACAACACGTTTTGATCATGCTGATAATTTCGAGCTTTACAAATTTGCGTATCATTTGATTACTATGATACAGTAGGCATTATAGGGTTAAAATGTATAAAAATTTTATACTTCCTGTTTTAGTTGGCAGTCGGTCAACATAGGAGAGATGAATGTGCACATTAAACTATATCATGGGGTCAAATAATTTACTCATAAAATAAAATCTAATTTTGTGACCTTTGTGACACATTTGAGCTTAGGAAGATATTTAGTGATTGTCTTTATTTTAATGGCAGGTGATTGCACAGACGGAGCCAGACGCACAGATTGTGGTTTTCTCTGAAGGAAGCGTTCGTCCCTGCGCTGTCTCTTCTGATATGACATTTATGCAGGTAGCAGCACATCTCATCCAGGTAAGACGATGCTTGTGCTTTAAAGATTTTACTCTCGTTTTCTTGTGAAAATGTAAAGAAATCTTGCTTGCTGGTAATGCTGCGAGACCACAACATAATCGCAGAATCCTAAATGTATTCAAACAATAAAAAATAGATCATCAAACCCCCTTGTGAATGATTAGATCTAGTTTATCTGTTGTCATAATAATTCATATGCGACTTCTCTCTAGACACCCGGTGGTAGCACAGACTGTGCCTTACCCATCACCTGGGCCTCAGAGAATGATAAATCTGTGGACGTCTTCATCATTTTCACTAATAATCAAACGTTTGGGAGGGAAAATCCAGCAGACACACTGAAGACGTATAGACAAGTGAGTGCAACCTGAAAGGGAACCCAAAAGTCATGTGACTTTTACAGACTTATTAAAAGTATTTGATTGATTTTCATTTATTAGATCAATCTTATCAAATATATGCTACACTCAAGTCTCTCATGCTCACCAAGGCTGCATTTATTTGCAAAAAAAAAAATACAGTTAAAAACTGAAATATTGTGAAATATTATTGCAATTTAAAATAACTGGTTTCTTTTTTAAATATATTTTAAAATGTAATTTATTCCTGTGATACAAAACGGAATTTTCAGCATCATTACTCCAGTCTTCAGTCACATGATCCTTCAGATCCAATATGCTGATTTGCTGCTCAAGAAACATTTCTGGTTATTATTAGTGCTGTCAATCGATTAAAAAATCTAATCACACATTTTTCTGTAATTAATTGCAATTAATCGCATATTAATATCAGTGTTGGGTAAGTTACTTTCAAAAAGTAATTAATTACTAATTATTAATTACATCATCAATATTGTATTTAAATTACTTTACTAATTACTCCATCTGAAAAGTCATTTATTTACTCAATAAGTAACTTAATGAATAAATGAATGTACAGCGCTCTCTCCTACCTTCAATACCATGACTGAGGTGCCCTTGAGCAAGGCACCAAACCCTCAACTGCTCCCCGGGTGCCGCAGCATAAATGGCTGCCTACTGCTCCGGGTGTGTGTTCACAGTGTGTGTGTGTGTGTGTGTGTGTGTGATTTGTATTTTAAAGAAAACCAGTTCGAAGGGAGCATAATTAGCTTTTTAGGTTAAAAGAATTTCTTAATATGAAATTCGAATGGTATGACAATTAGAGATTAGACTGTACAGAAATTGAAATCTACAAGCTAATATTCACACTATATTCACATAGTCACGTAATGCTGATGTTGTTAACATGAACAATTTGAGAATAATGTATAACAAAAATAATAATTTGTGTGGTTTGATGTGATATGAGCCAACCGATCTTTAGATTAAATCACCATTGGTAGCGCGATTTATTGTAATGCTTTTTTCCTCAGTTGGTCAGAACAAACGTGGCAGACTTGTTACTTGTTCAGGTGACAATATCCGGTGAAAATTTGGGTAATATATTCCAAGAAGTAGGCTAGAATCTGTGATTGGGAAGTACAGTAAATATCCACACCGGAGCGGTGACTGACTTAGTAATCACCTGTTCCTTGTTATTAGTTATCGCTCCTACACCGCAGCAGTTCCGTGACACTTACTTTACTTTTTCAGTAAGTAATTTAATTACAGAAACGGGAAACAAACAGAAACTAATCAGCAAGGAGAGCAGTGAGTGATTTATTTTTTCTTTTGTTCTTTGATTTCCATCAATGACACAGGCTGCAGCAGGTATCACTTTAAAAGCAGCACTGTCTCTTTAAAACCTGATGCACATGACGCCGATCTGACACGCATCTGATTTTACCCCAACTCTTTATGGTCATTTAGGTCTTTTTATTTAATTTAAGAATGTTTACGAGGCCAAAAACGGGCATTTTGACATAATTTTTGTATGTTTTTGTCCATGAAAGAGAGAGTGCATTACTGGCCAGTATTGAATTAACTGTATCTCATCATGCTTGATAGTCATGCTTCATAGTACTCGCTCTGTCTGCACAGTGTGCGTGAACGCACTGATGACGTATCCTGTCTGCGCGAACTGGGTGCGCGGGGGTATGCTAATACATACGTTGACAGGCAGGTAGGAAAGCATATTAACTTTAGTTACTGCAACACCAGCCAAAGGATGCCAGGAAAAAGGGAAAAAAATTAATGCTGTGATAATTGCTTTAAATATTTTTAATTAAAACAAATCTTTTTGACAGCCCCTAATTATTATCAATCTTGAACGTAGTTGTGCTGCTTAACTGTTTTTGTGGAAACTTTTTTTTTTAGGATTCTTTGATGAATAGGAAAAAAAAAAGAATTACTTGAAAATAGTTCTTTTGTAACACATTTTTTTACTGTCACTTTTGATCATGTCATTGCTGATTAAATGAATAAAAATTAAAATACATTTATTTCAAAATTAGTTGGCTTATCATGTAATAATAAAACAAATTAAACATCAATTGAAGATACTACTTCTAACATATTTTTTTTAATTTTTTGTCCTGTTTGTGTTTTCTTTTTTCAGAAAATCGGTTTATTTTCCAAACTGATTGTGTGCGGATTGATTGCCAACTCCCTGTCCGTCGCTGACCCTGAAGACCGCGGCATGCTGGACATCTGCGGCTTTGACTCGCAAGCAGTTGATGTCATCCGTAACTTCGCACTCGATGTCATTTAAAAGCTGTTTGTTTTGTAGCATGCAGTCGGTTTTCTGAAAGGACAATGAGACATGGATGCAACCCGCATCAACATGCAAAAAAATGTTCTACATTTTAATTTGGAAATCATGTTTTTGAAGTTTGGAATGGAGTCCAAATCTAATTGAATAACCAGCAGGGTGGAGTAGTTGCAGTGAAAATCACGGAGAGCAAATTCACAAAATGACGATTATGTTTACTGATATTCATTAACCTGGTCCAGTGAAATAATGCTCATTTCTGAGCAGAGCATAGCTGAAGTACATGTTGTTGTGTCTCTGACCTTCATTG